GGTAGAGCGCTAGCCTTGAGCTGAAGGGCTGAGGGACAGCGCCCAGACCCAGAGTTCAGGCCCCATCACCGGACCCAAAAAAAAAAAAACCCAAAAACCATACAATTACAGAGTTTTAAAACAGCACCTCAGAGTACTGAAAGAGTGTGATTCCCGAGGTGGGAACAAACACAGATCAGTAAGACTGTTGTAAGTAGCACTACCAACCCCCTTACTCAAGCAACAACAGCTATAGGTCACAGAGTTCAACCCCCAGGACTGCCAGGAGTAGTCAAAAAAGTAAAAGGTTGCTGGGCGCCGGTGCTCACGCCTGTCATCCTAGCTTCTCAGGAGGCTGAGATCTGAGGATTGCGACTCAAAGTCAGCCTGGGCAGGGACGTCCATGAGACTCTTTTCTCTAATTAACAACCAAATGTTAGAAGTGGAGCTGTGGCTCAAGTGATAGAGCCTTAAGCAGAAGCAGCTCAGGGACAGCACCCAGGCCTGAGTTCAAGCCCCACAACTGACAAAAATGAGTACTTATAATTATATATATATACATATATATATATCATAAAGCAATAAAACAAAAATGACTACAAAAAGGAACATCTAAAGATACTAATGAAACAGAAGTCTCAAAATGAGAGGTTAATATATTTTAGAAGTGAACACAAATTTAAAATATATTTCAAACAGCAGGAGCCACAATATCCAATGCAGAAAAAAATAAAGTCTAAGCATACTACCAAAGGGAAATACAAAAGGTAGCACAGACAGTTTTGACAATCCAAATATTGTTGAAACATCACAGGTAGCACATACTGTTCCTTACACTGAAAGGCAAAAGCAAGGCAATGTGGGACATAAGATAAAGGACCAGCAGCTGTGACCATCATTCCCATCTTCTAAAGAATCCATTTCCCAGATGAGCTGTAAAAATTGCTCAGCACTGTGGGTAGCACACAGTAAGCATCCCATTCTGCACTCCATTACACAGAGGTCCCAGCAATAAAGGAAGTGAAACAGCACCTTTGCCTCTTGAACAGTGACTATGTGTGTCCTATGAGGACTACCAGGAACCCAAGATCCACTAGACGAGGCCTGGGGCACCCACTGCCTTGCACCCTCCACCCAGACAGACATCCGTCAGTCACTCCCTACAACCAGCCCTTCCCAAGACCCCATCTTCTGTGTGGTAAAGCATAAAGAGTCTGCAAGGGAACCGAACCCCTCAGAGCATGCAGCCACACAGTAGGGTCTAAAGAAGGCCAAGGAATCATGCAGCATTCTGCACCAGCAGTCAAGAGTATACCCTCAGGCAATCAAATAATAGACTCTAAAGAATACCAAGGCAGGACTGGGAAGGTGGCTCAGTGGTAGATCACTTGCCTTGCATGCCTGAGGCCCTGGGTTCGATTCCTCAGCACCACATAAGCAGGAAAAAAGCTGGAAGTGGCGCTGTGGCTCAAGTGATAGAGCACTAACCTTGAGCTGAAGAGCTGAGAGACAGCGCCCAGGCCCAGAGTTCAGGCCCCACAACTGGACCAAAAAAAAATTTTTTTAATAAATAAATAAATAAAATAAAAAAAGAATACCAAGGCAAGGATCAGAGTTCTGAGAAAGTAAACACAGTTACTTAAGTAAACTCAAAAAATTTTCTATGTGCAAAACAAGGCATTACAAACAGGAAAAAGAAAAAGCTAAGGACCCCTGGGGTCACCCCCAGACATCTAACATCTAACTCACCAGTAAGAGAAGACAGAAGTAGAGCAATGATCAAAATCGCAGCAGAAGCAAAGGCCCCTGTGCTGAAGGATGACGTCTTCAGCCCAAAGTTACCCAACTGAAATCCAACATGAAAAGACAGGCCTAGAGAAAGTAGCATCCTCATGAAGTCTCGGTGCCAGAGCCACAAGAGTCAGCAATGTGGATGGAGAAGAGCTGTCCACCAAGTTGGAAAATGAGCTTGTTCTGCCTCAAGTGAGTTCAGAAGGCTCACCTGCACATCCTGTCACCACAGACGGACACTCAGCAGCCATGCCTGGTGACCACACTTACAATCCCAGCTACTTAGAAAGCAGAGGAAAGAGGATCAAAGGTTCAAGGTCAGACCAAGCAAAATACAAGCAAGACAAAACAAGCTAGGACCATGCACTGGTGGCCACTCACGCCTGTCATCCTAGCTACTCAGGAGGCTGAGATCTGAGGATCGCGGTTCAAAGCCGGCCCGGGCAGGAAAGACCGTGAGACTCCTATCTCCAATAAACT